TTGACGAGTGATGATCGGGTGGTCACAAGGGGTGAGTATGAAGTGGCTACCTATAACTGTAGCTTTGGTCCCCAGTCGGGGCTAGAGGTAGAATGGGTCCCAACGTTCCCATGCTTGTCCTACGAATTGCCGATCTTCTAACACACGCCCTGTGTCAATGTGAGACTTTATGCATATATCGAGACATGCTATGGTGTTACATCATCAACAGTGGTCCTGTGGAACTCGGCGTCCAACTGCAAGATAGATCCGACACTGATCTTGTCTGCAGTCTCTTGCCCTGCCAGCCTCCTGTTTCCCTGTCTAATGAGGATCTGTTCCAAAAATCTGTTATAACCAGACTGTATGATGTGACTCTCAAGCCATGTACAATCTTTCCTTGTCACTGTTAACTTTTCTTGTACTCTCCTATTGAGGAGTATAAGCATAATATTTATATAGTCTGAACAATGCATACTATTTACTGGCCGTCGGGATATAGCTTGATTGTAGCTGATTGAACTGTATCTTGCATGCGTTTCTCCAATTGGGTACACTTTACAAAAACAATATTTCTCCACTCCATCTTTCTCGCACTTACGCCATAATGTTGAAATAAATAGTGTATAAATATAACCATTGTCTTCAATCTAAATTTTAAGTTATGAACACACACACACACACACACACACACACACACACACACACACACACACACACACACACACACACACACACATATATATATATATATATATATATATATATTTCATCGAAATGTTCCTTTGACCATCCAAGAACTATGGACAATTCCGCATTACAAAAGGATGTATTTAATTCTGTCCATTCCGGTGTTGCCAAAATCAACCTAAAACTCAAAGGGGGCACGGGTGTCAATTCGCAATGCATGCCCCTTGGACGCGTCAGAAATCTATTATCATGGGTTCGAATCCCGGTCCACCCCGAACATGTTTCCAGGTTTCTCAGGACCGTTCTCGTGCTCGTGGGTTTCACCAAAGTCGTAAACGTCTAAGACCTGCATCATTTCAGGCTTTCCTCCCACATTATGCTGACACGCCGTGATGTAACTTGAATACTGTCAAAAGCACCAACTCATTCACTAAAAGTCAGATCGTTGAAGACACAAGTTCTATGTCAAACAAATAGTGAATATACTCCCATGTTACGTCGGTATATCGCACTGCTTACAGTGATGAAGGGTAGTCTAGTGGTAACTGCCCTCACGTCGATTGCCAATATGGGTACAATATGGAAAGTCTTTTTCTGGTGTCCCCGCCATGTTAGTGCTTGATAATTACTAAACGCGGCGTAAATCATATTCACAATAAAGCCCCATATTTTTATGACCAATCAAAATGTGAAGTTAAGAATTTGTTTGGAAATGGCTAACTTTTAAGTAGATTTAATCGGTTGAAAACCTTTTCTCCCACTATGTCATTACCTCAGACAGATAAAATATTGCTCCACACGTCAATATTCATTACACGGAATCTCTGCTACAAGACGGGTGCACATGATGAGATAATAATTAATAATGCAGCGTCAAGAGCATTTACTTTGTGAATGCAATCTCGCGCAATTCTAGTTCTATTATTATTATTTATTTTTTTTATATATTTTTTTTTATTTCCGCAGCAACCTATGCTGGTCGTAAGAGGCGTTTTAATTGATTGGGTTGCCAAGCAAGGCGTTTTGGTTGATAGCGTGACATCGTTCACGAAAGGCGTCGGACGTTGCGCGTATCAGTCACTAGATTATCTGGACCACGGGTGCAGCCATATAGCTGCAATATTGTACCGCGAGACTACAAACATACAAACAACACAAGCATGCAGTAATGATGGAAAACAAACAGCAGAATACAGACGTTATTATATTTTGGTCTGTATATGTTCAGGACAGAAACATTATCCGTCTTTCATCAATGCAGTGAACGGAATCGAAACTACATCCCCAGTAAATTCGTATATCAGATCTGGATGGCATATACCGGTAACATGATAAACGAGGATTTGAAGTTCCCTAATAGACAAGACTTGCTGTCTCCGTGAACAGTTGTTTAATGTTTTTGTCGACACTTCCATTCATATGATACTACCACATTTAAGCGGCCTGACTCCAGATTTGACTTTTAAGCTGCTGGAATATGTATAGCTGGTCGCCCCTCTTGGAACTTGAGCAGGCTGTAATGTCCTCATACAATACTTCCCCCCAGACCGCTTGCATATCAAATGGTATAAATGTTTACATACCGCTACCGGAATATAGTTCATGGGTTCGGTGGCTATTAACGCAGGCTTTATTACAGCTGTTTTGACTCCATATTTAGTTCCTGAGTCGTATACACGTGAAATTTGTTAAGGGATCTGTACTTTTCTGATACTGTGATCCAATGAATGTCAAAACGACAGACAAAATAACTACGCGCAAAAATGTCAGTGTATTTCAAATCAGTTATATGTCTGCCGATATCCAATTACATTTTGATTCTGATGACATTGACGTTGAGATCGACATCGAGCCAGCAATCAAGTGTTTGACATCATGAGTATCGATTTACGCAATTGGGATACGATGACGAGCTTTAACCAAGTCATCGAGTCTGGCAAGCCGACCCCGTTAGTCGCCTCCTACAACAAGCACAGGTTGCTGACGATCACTTCTAATCCTGATCTTCACGGGTCGGTGAATATCTCATGCATTTATAGATTCAGAGCGGGCGATCGCGACTGATACAAGCAATCATGCATTGGGGTAGGTCAGTGGTTCGACCGTTAGGTGGTCATTCCCAAGGCCCGAGTTGGGTTCTCCAACATATACAACGTGCCCGTATCTGATGTCCCCTATCGTGATGATACTACAATATTAGCGTCATTCATACCAACTCACTCACAACAGATCTTAACCGTGAACACGTATCATTTTACGAGCGCCTCTGTTATCAGGATGTTCACATTTTAATGGTGTTGTCTCGAAACGAAAGAAAATTACAATGACCCGAGGCTGCCAACCTAGGTCGTATTACTTTTTATGCGATTGACAGTGACAGAGAGGGTCTACCCTTCTTCGTGAGGAGTTGAAATCAAGTCCTATATTTAATTGTGAAGTAGACGCGTTCCAAGGTGAAGTTCCTTGCAGCTAATCCATCACGAGTGTTCCCCCTTACAGCAGTACAAAAGTGATTATCTTTTAGGGAGAAATTTAGTCTTCGACTCTTTAATCAAAAGACAGTTAAGCATCACTTTGCACGTGATTTTTTTTATTACTTTGACACTAACTCACTCATCTGTCATATTTTGATTTCACTGCAGACGTTGTGTCCACGCGGACTTATTTCTTTGCGATCAAATAGGGTGAAGAATACATTTTTGATATCTTTCTGCACTCGATGCTTTATTTTCTCGCTTGTTTTTGTTGAAAAGCCCAGCGTGAATATATTCAGAATGTTTACTTGTGCTGCACAGCATCATTATAACACACTTTTATTATGCTATTATTATTATGTGCAGTTTAAAATACAAAATGCTGTAAAGAGGGATTGGGTGATCCTGGCACAGTCAGGCTCAACATCAGCTCAGGGCCCTTGCCCCCTCTACACACAGAGCAGACAGCGAAAGGGACTTCTCCCAGGAAGCGCTGCCCAGTCGAACCCACCCAGAGCCTTTCGGAGAATGTGAAGACTCTCCTACATTGCAACCTTCTGCATTACCCAGATCGTCAGAAGGGCTGTTATATCCTGGCAGAAAACCCGGGTACTCTCCCAATTTCAGTCAACAGATTGGGAGGTATCAAACCTAAGCCACCGAGAACAATGGGCAACTTGTGATGCAAGCGTGACATTTGAAAGCGATGTCTGCATATTTCAATTTGCCATGATCTTCCTGAATCTTGTGAATCACATTGGTGATTTATCAAAAAGGACAAGATCAGGTTTGTTGGCCTGAATACGTCTGAGGCTGTATACGGGCCTATTCCAAAGGCATCTGTATTTACCATTTTCCATGACGCCCTCGACATGTTCGTGGTCGTACCATAGATGGACCTCTGTGTCAAACCCGTAACCATGGCGAAGACGGTAATATTATGATCGAGCCACTCATGTCGCTTATAAGATACTGTGTTTGTGCTTAAGCTGGGCATCCAATGACAACGTGTTGGACAGTCTCATTAAATTCATTGCATAATCTACTTTTCATATTTACATTTTGATGCAAAATCACACATTGACGGTTTCCAGTAAGAAGTTACTGGTCCTAGGCAGCAAAAGCCTGTACATAACTATATATATAAGTTCAGAATGGATGATGACGATGTGAATTTCTATCTATGTTAGCTCTTGTATCTATGCAACAGCGACCTTGTTCAGAGTATGTGAGGATTATCATTTGAATCTTTATAGGCTGCATCATTTAGACATTCTTTCATGTGTATGCACGAGTTTCAAAATCGATGTACATTTCATTCCATCACATGCACATGCCTAGCTGCATATAGAACACAACACAACACAAACTGTCGTTCCAGACTTGTATGGGTCTGTTTACACAACATTTGTTGTTTGTTGTTTAACGCCGCACTCAGCAATATTCCAGCCATATGACGGCGGTTTGTAATTAATCGAGTCTTGCCAGACAATTCAGTGATTGACATCATGTGCATCGATCCACGAAATTGGGATACGATGCCATGCATCAACCACGTCAGCGAGCCTGATCACCCGATCCAATAAGTCGCCTCTTACGACAGGCATCGTGGCGTCTTGCAGCAAGCATGGGTTGCTGAGGACCAATTCTAATCCGGATCTTCCCTGGGATACGCAACATATGTACAGTTGCGCAGTCGCTACTTCATTAACAGAAGCAAGTAGCCACCACGTATGCATGTATATCACCAAGATGCTCAAACCATCGGCAATGTTGAACTAAATACAGCAAACTGTTGTGCCTTAGACGACTGTGCCATACTTGTGCCATCCTTTGCCATATATTTTTAACTCAGTGAAATAAAATAATCTTTATTCATAATACAAGACATGTGGAGTTACAAAAGGGTACTTTTGTGATTAATTCGTTATTTGAACAATACGTGGCAGCATCGTATAACATATATTTGAAGGTAACACTATTCTGTTTTGTGTATTTCTGCATAACAAGGTAAAATGCCATCTCAGTGATAGTGTTACATACAGTGACATTTTGTATTCGTGTAATGACCTAATCCTGCCTTCAGTGGATGTTTCAAAATACAGTGTTTATTCAGTTTGAAAATATTTGTTAAAATCTTCCTTGATCTTGGATAACATATCCGGTGATGTGAACACGTCAATGGCTGTCATGGCGAGAGCCTTCCCCATGTCCAGTGTGTTGCGCTGTGCTTCAGGCGAACCTTTGAACAGATGATTTGCGGTTAACGCATTCGAGTATCATGAGATGAAAATATCTCCGCAAATTAACATACACCAACGCGATAACCAGAAAATGTAGGGCCTGTATAAACTTCAAGTGAACATGCCTACTCCACCGGCCAGACCCCATATATTGTCACAAAGCGTGTAGCGATTAGACATTTGGTATCTTAGTTGGACTGGGCGATCGTCAGCTTGTATTGGGCATTCCTTTACCTATTTCACTATGATAGGTTGTAGCGAATTGGTTCTCAGGGATATACAGCCTGAAAACCCACATCACTGATCGTTTGTAGCGTAGGAAGAAACACTGATTGAAAAATTAAGGTGCCCGAGTCATCACCAAAGAGAGAATCTTTACTTTTCATGTTAATGATCTACCATGAATACATCGTCATGCCATGTATCACATCATATAATCTGGCTTAAACATCGGAACGTCAAACTGTCGTTTACGCTGGCATGTGACAGCCATCTCTCCACTTAAAAAGCTGTGTATATTTCGATCGTCAATTTAAATATTATTTTTTATTATTAAAAACAAGTACAATTTCGTTATATCTCACCTGCAGCCGCTGTGAACTCTCTTGTGTGGTTGAGACAGCCCTCAACCCCTACATAGTACATGGGGTGGATACTTGGAACGACGTAGGACACGTTTCCCATGTCGGTGGAACCCAACGCCTGTCCGGCCAGTTTTTCCTGCGGCGTGAACTCAACACCAAGACCCTTAGCGTTTTCGACAAAGGCATTGGCCAGCGTCTTGTTGGTAACAACGTTGGCGTAACTTCGTGGATCAAAGTTGCATTCCGCCTAAATCAAATCAAAACTGGTTATGAAAGTACGTGACTGTGAATCAATTGTGCTAAAATAACGTTTCCAGATTATCTCTATATACTATACTTTTAAGATTCCTTATTGTTGTAATGTACTATGATGCAAGCATAAATATAGCTGTCTAAATGTTCAGGTCCGTGTCCCCTGTTTAGAATCCGCACATGCACTCGTTCAGGTTATACTGACAGGGTATCCTAATAACTATCAATGCACCATGGTACAATATCAACTGTGCCTTAATACCATTTTAGCAGATACACGTTTAATCGGATTAAACCAAGTTAAATTTCTGCGAGTCACTGACCAGACATATCCTCCTCAATACAGGCCAGACACCCTACCAGACACTATCACAGACTCTGTTAACATCCTGAAATATTTGGACCAGGCGCCCTGTTAACACACTACACGATACTCATCACAGTCTCTGTTAACATCCTGCCAGTTACTGAACAGACGCCTTGTACGCTCTACCAGATACTCATCACAGTCTCTGTTAACATCCTGTCAGATACTGACCAGACGCCTTGTACGCTCTACCAGATACTCATCACAGTCTCTGTTAACATCGTGTCAGATACTGACCAGACGCCTTGTACGCTCTACCAGATACTCATCACAGTCTCTGTTAACATCCTGTCAGATACTGACCAGACGCCTTGTACGCTCTACCAGATACTCATCACAGTCTCTGTTAACATCCTGTCAGATACTGACCAGACTCCTTGTACGCTCTACCAGATACTCATCACAGTCTCTGTTAACATCCTGTCAGATACGACCAGACGCCTTGTACGCTCTACCAGATACTCATCACAGTCTCTGTTAACATCCTGTCAGATACTGAACAGACGCCTTGTACGCTCTACCAGATACTCATCACAGTCTCTGTTAACATCCTGTCAGATACTGACCAGACGCCTTGTACGCTCTACCAGATACTCATCACAGTCTCTGTTAACATCGTGTCAGATACTGACCAGACGCCTTGTACGCTCTACCAGATACTCATCACAGTCTCTGTTCACATCCTGCAAGATACTGAACAGACGCCTTGTACGCTCTACCAGATACTCATCACAGTCTCTGTTAACATCCTGCCAGATGCTGAACAGACGCCTTGTACGCTCTACCAGATACTCATCACAGTCTCTGTTAACATCCTGCAAGATACTGAACAGACGCCTTGTACGCTCTACCAGATACTCATCACAGTCTCTGTTAACATCCTGCCAGATACTGAACAGACGCCTTGTACGCTCTACCAGATACTCATCACAGTCTCTGTTAACATCCTGCCAGATACTGAACAGACGCCTTGTACGCTCTACCAGATACTCATCACAGTCTCTGTTAACATCCTGTCAGATACTGAACAGACGCCTTGTACGCTCTACCAGATACTCATCACAGTCTCTGTTAACATCCTGCAAGATACTGAACAGACGCCTTGTACGCTCTACCAGATACTCATCACAGTCTCTGTTAACATCCTGCCAGATACTGAACAGACGCCTTGTACGCTCTACAAGATACTCATCACAGTCTCTGTTAACATCTTGCCAGATACTTACCAGACGCCTTGTACGCTCTACCAGATACTCATCACAGTCTCTGTTAACATCCTGCCAGATACTGAACAGACGCCTTGTACGCTCTACCAGATACTCATCACAGTCTCTGTTAACATCCTGCAAGATACTGAACAGACGCCTTGTACGCTCTACCAGATACTCATCACAGTCTCTGTTAACGTCCTGCCAGATACTGAACAGACGCCTTGTACGCTCTACCAGATACTCATCACAGTCTCTGTTAACGTCCTGCCAGATACTGAACAGACGCCTTGTACGCTCTACCAGATACTCATCACAGTCTCTGTTAACATCCTGCCAGATACTGAACAGACGCCTTGTACGTTCTACCAGATGCTCATCACAGTCTCTGTTAACATCCTGCAAGATACTGAACAGACGCCTTGTACGCTCAACCAGATACTCATCACAGTCTCTGTTAACATCTTGCCAGATACTGAACAGACGCCTTGTACGCTCTACCAGATACTCATCACAGTCTCTGTTAACATCCTGTCAGATACTGAACAGACGCCTTGTACGCTCTACCAGATACTCATCACAGTCTCTGTTAACATCCTGCAAGATATTGAACAGACGCCTTGTACGCTCTACAAGATACTCATCACAGTCTCTGTTAACATCCTGCAAGATACTGAACAGACGCCTTGTACGCTCTACCAGATACTCATCACAGTCTCTGTTAACATCCTGCCAGATACTGAACAGACGCCTTGTACGCTCTACCAGATACTCATCACAGTCTCTGTTAACATCCTGTCAGATACTGAACAGACGCCTTGTACGCTCTACCAGATACTCATCACAGTCTCTGTTAACATCCTGTCAGATACTGAACAGACGCCTTGTACGCTCTACTAGATACTCATCACAGTCTCTGTTAACATCCTGTCAGATACTGAACAGACGACTTGTACACTCTACCAGATACTCATCACAGTCTCTGTTAACATCCTGTCAGATACTGAACAGACGCCTTGTACGCTCTACCAGATACTCATCACAGTCTCTGTTAACATCCTGCCAGATACTGAACAGACGCCTTGTACGCTCTACCAGATACTCATCACAGTCTCTGTTAACATCCTGTCAGATACTGAACAGACGCCTTGTACGCTCTACCAGATACTCATCACAGTCTCTGTTAACGTCCTGTCAGATACTGAACAGACGCCTTGTACGCTCTACCAGATACTCATCACAGTCTCTGTTAACATCTTGCCAGATACTGACCAGACGCCTTGTACGCTCTACCAGATACTCATCACAGTCTCTGTTAACATCCTGCCAGATACTGAACAGACGCCTTGTACGCTCTACCAGATACTCATCACAGTCTCTGTTAACATCCTGCAAGATACTGACCAGACGCCCTGTTAACACACTACACGATACTCATCACAGTCTGTGTTAACATTCTGTCAGATACTGACCAGACACCCTGTTAACACAATACAGATATTCATCACAGTCTCTGTTAACATCCTGAAAAATTCTGATCAGATTCCATGTTAACAGCCAACCAGGTACTCATCACAGACTGTGTTAACATCCTGCCAGATACTGACCAGACGCCGTTTACACTCTACCAGATACATACCACAGTCCCTGTTAACATCCTGGAAATACTGTTAACACCCTACCAGTTACTAAATCGGCATTTTATTCATAAACAACATGGCGACTGCCGTGCAGATTTTGGTCGAATGCTGGATTTGTGTACCGTCAACTGGGTGACGGCAGATGTTTTCCAAATCTTTTCAGGCTATTAATTACGGTGTTCAAGTGCTTTACTGAACCGCGCTAATTAAAGCGCCAAGAAAGGCCAATTATATTGCATTAAAGATCTTGATAAAAGATTAGATCGTCTTGACTCGGTGCCACCATTTTGTTTGCAGCAAATGCAAGTGATATGAGAGGTGGATAGTTCAGGAAGATGGTGGCCAAGGGTACTGCAACTACTGACCGTGCACCCTGTGGCTGAAGCAGCAGCCTCTATACACTTGGACACTTTCTCCTTCAGAACGTTCAGCTCAGCGTCAGTGGGTGCCCTCAGGTAGTATTCCAATTCCGTCAACTCAGGTATGATGTTGGGCTTGGCCCCGCCATTGATGATGATCCCTTAACCAACGTTAGACATACGTTTTAGTTGTGGTATCTTCACGACAGATCAGAGCAAAATGAATATTGTATTTCAAAAACATAAGCTTATGTTTCTCCGACAAGGAACTGGTCGCTTATTATAGATAGGGCCGTCGGTCGGATTCGTTAGAGGACCGTATAATATTTTGCTGACGCCTCCACCCCCCTCCACACACACAAACACACATTGACATGTAACATTTCTTCATGCCACACCCCATCCCATATTAAATTACCAGACACTCAATAATGTTCTAATTTATAACACATTATTATTTGAAAAAGTAGAAGTATGTGATATTTTCATGCCACCCTTAGAAATGTTCCTTGTGGTCAGTCAGTACAGATTATGCAATAAGTATATATACATTGCGTTGTCTATATTCATATGTGGAAGTGTTCAGAATTGGCTAAAGAAAGAGATTGAGTTGGAACTTACGCAACTTTGTACAGCATGAACAGTTTATATCACGGCCGATGTGATTGATGTTTGAGAGATTTATCACTTTGGCAATTAACTTTGGCCTCATTCCGATAGGTTCTAATGTTCAGAACTGGCTGACTGAAACTACGTACCATGCACTCTCCAGTCAGGTTTCATCTGTTGTCTGAGACAGGAGATGTTCTGGTAGCACAGGACGGCGGCGTCAAGAGCGTTGATGCCCTTCCAAGGAAAGCCGGCAGCGTGAGATGCCTTGCCGTGGAACTTGATATTGCATCTGAACCACATACATATTCGATATACAGTATTTCACTTACATATCGACGTGTCTGCTTGATAGGGTATGAAAGCCAAAGTGTCACATGACATGTTATATATAGGAGAGCAGAGGAACAGGTCTATAAAAATATGAACCACCAAAAAGAAAGTCGAATTTATCAAATGATACAAATTGTATGCTATTATTGTGTATACTGATTATAAACGCCACAAGCTTTCGGAATAAACTCAATAAACTACAGATTATCAGAATCACTATTTGTGATAAAAGTAGAATGAAGGTGTTGCTGTATCTTACTGTACTATGGACAGGCAGAAAGGGAATGCTGTTACCAAAGGCGACGGGTGCGCCATCATCGCAATATCAACATCATCAAAGACTTTGGCGTTGATGAAATCAAGTTTGCCACCTCCACCCTCCTCCGCAGGAGTGCCAAGAACAGTTAACTGAAACACAGGACAATAACTCTCATGTACACATTAGTATTTTATCACGCCAAGGCTATAGGACTGACCATCAGCATTTTAGTCATTCGTAACCCCGATTCAGTATAAATTTGAAATATTCCTCAGAGTATGTTTACATACATGAAGAGCGCAATATCTATATGTCTTGTCTATATACATAAAACATTTATTGCTGTGTATTTAAGGACCATTAAATAATATCTAAAGAAGTAAACAAAGTAACAACGACGTACACACACAGGGACGCACGCACACACAACACACACACACACACACACGCACGCACGCACGCACACACGCACTCACACACACGCGCACACACACACACAATACACACACACACGCACGCACGCACGCACGCACGCACGCACACACGCACGCACGCACGCACGCACACACGCACTCACATATCCCACCTACTTATCGCCTTTCTCCGAAGCGACCCCTTCTATGGTCAGGGTAATAGCCCTCTGTCCGGAGAGTTTTATATGCGTTTTTATGCGTGCAATTATCTCCTGAACGCGGCGTTAAACCCAATTTCACCTCACATCACCTATTACTGAAGAATTCAGATATAAAATATATGTGAAAAGAGCTTTAGGTTTTGCAAGTGTTATACATGATGGTAGATATAAATTATGAGCCTTCAAGATGCATGTATATATAACACCTTAACCTTGACCTCTCAGGCGTATCAGAAAACCTCTTATCAGTCTAGGTCTCGTTCTCAGAGATATATACATGTATTGTTGTCAATTGTACGGTTATTGTCATAAACCTTTACTGCTCTCGTTTCAACGCATTTGGGAAAACTATGACATTTGTATATCCACGTGGCAATGTACAGGGCCATGTAAAATCGTTGACAATTAACATGAATAAATTATGTCCAAAAAAACAACCCAAAAAATTTTTTAGAATGACATTTGTATATTTCAGGGCTTCTTACTTTTAATTTTTCATTCATATACTTTCATTGTTTCTTTGCGCTCAAATACAGAACCACATCCAGTGTTCTACTTCTCTATCCAGTCCTCCAAGGGGAAGATTTTGTTTATGCTTTATGAGGCATATATAATATCTACCCGTCCTTTACCATTTATGAAAATTGCATGCATGCACGTTGCTTTTTTAAAGATATTTGAATTTGTAAACTTTCTGAAATATTAATACTTATATTACATTATGTTTTGGTGGCCATATATACTTATTATATTATATTCATGTTACTTTAGGTGGGAACCCTGCAATACTGAATGAACTCTTGATATAACAAGTGGTCATGTACATATAGTTAACAGTGTGGGATGTAACAGTGGTATTAATGCTGGTAAAATCCTACCTTCCCTCCCGTTCCTGTAGCCTGTAACGCCGCCTTCACCCCAAGGCCCGCTGCCACGCCCACTTCAGCAATCAGGTTGTGGCCACAAGCGTGTCCGATCTCCGGCAGGGCATCATATTCACACAGTACGGCCACATGAGGACCTGTCCCATCTTGACCAAACACTGCCCTGAACCCTGTATCCAGTTTGTAATTCCTTTCAACCTCAAATCCATGTTTCTCAAGAAAATCGGTCAGTACCTTGTGAGCATTTATCTCCTCAAAATTAAGCTCAGGCTTTTCCCATATGGCATGACTGACTTTGTTCAATTCATCTGCATACCTGTCAATTTCTACGCAAGCTGCATCTTTCAGTGGTTTCGCCGTCATCTTGTATGACCAGTGTGCTGTTTGTGCTGAGTAACGTGACGATCATAAGACTCCTGCTTAAAGTGACACGAGGCTGTGTTGCGGTGGTCTGATATGATATACAATGCAAATAGAAATAGTTCATAGTTCAGCCAGGATTGTGTCTACAATGTCTGGACACATTATTCAACAAATATCGCTCGTTGGTCAACATGTAAGTACGAAGCCTAATTACCAAGGGACCAGCAAGATGAGTAGCTGCGAGTAGTTTAGTGGACGAGATACATGTATGATAAAGGCGCCTTTCACCCCAGGGAATCTGCATAATTGTGAGTAGTATCAAAATCACGTGACCAGTCGGATAACCAATGAACGTCCAACGCCGGACAATCACGTGACAGTTCCGGGTCAGTGACCCGCACTCAAACCCGGTAACTAAGATTTATATAACACCGGTTTGCGGAATTAAATAGTATACACGAAACCGGCGAACGACTAGCTAATTCAACAGTTGAGAAAGCATGGAACAGCCTGTTGACGAACCTCCCATGATCGCTACCGCTAAATGCGGTTTGTTGGGTAGAAATTTGTCCATTAGAGGAAAGAAACGTATTATCATTTTGGGTACAAATTGTCGGCAGTGACCAGACTAAACGTATGTCGAGTTGAAAACCGTACAGTTTTGGACGTGAGAATGTTTCTGGCCGGTAAGGCCACCATTAAAGGAATAACAATGACCATGGAAGAATGGACAACAATGCTACAATTGCTACCTTTGATAAAGACTGAACTCGTATTGTTTAACGTTACTGGAAAGTGTAGACCTTCCATAATAGGCGATACAACGTATAATATGTTATGAATATGTTATAGTGCAAACCATTTCAATACTTTTATTTATAATTGTGCAAACCATTTCAATACTTTTATTTAACATTTCATTTATCTAAATACCTAACTGGTTCAATATGTTTCCAAGTGCACCGAAATTCTATGCCCTTTGTCTGTTTAATATATTCAGCAAACATTCGGCGTTATCCCCTCTTATCATAAGCCCCTCCGGGCAGGACCCTTAATCTCCAGCGCTATCTACAAATTTCAATTAACACCTCCTAACGTCGCCGGATCTTACGTCTATACATACACGTGGGACAATGACCTTGCCACACGTTACGTAATTCCTCGCTCTACAAACCGCGACTGACATGGTCAGTCAGGGAGAGAGACAGCCAGGAGACAGCCTGGAGACAGCCAGAAGATCGACTCGTGTAAGTGACAGAACGGTTCTCCCACCCGGGAAGATTGGCCACTCGGTCCCGGTGTGCGTTCTGTCACGTTATTATCAACATGTACCTTTTCGACTCATTTCAATCTGCATCAGTAAATATGGCTGCTGTCGTCTAAACTTCATCCCTGAGTTTTGTCCTCCGCCATCACCCTGAGCTACCATCCGAGGGCCGAAACGTACGCCCTTGGACAAATAGATACTGTCTTTATACTTAAGCTTTCCGAATGTCGTTTTTAAGCACGTTTATGTATTAAGAAATATGATACCGTTTTCATTACCTTCGATAGCCGCGAACATTTTGAAACTGTCACTTCTAAACAGTAGTTATGACACCGTGCGTGAGCATTGACGCTGACCGCATCGCCCTTGTTAACGGTTTAATCACCAGAGGCTGTTGCGCAGCAGCTGGTATTACGGATCGCTGACGCTGAATACGTCTGACCGATCTGTTGACGGGAGCTATTCACACCCGATTATATCGAATGTACCAACATGTCATGCTTATTATCAACCGTTTAACCTGTAGCCGTGCGTAAAAGCAAATCCAGTGTAATCCCGAATGGGAAGCTGGCGCAGTGTTCGCGATATAGGCTGCCGGTAAAGTCTCTCGTTTATGCGTACGTAGTAAATAATCCCTAGGTAATGTGCCTTTGTAGACGTCCTTTAACTCGTAGTCGCCTCGCACGAAAGCGTCTATATCCGAGGTGTACAACATCTTTACGTCATCATAACGTTACGGTACGCGTCCACTTCAATACAGTTATTCATTTCCAAATAAGTAATCATGGTCAAAGGGTGAGCTAGCGGTTGTGAAAAGTACAGATCGATTCCTACTTTGCCCGATTGTTTAGGGTAGTGATGTCCTTCATCCGCGCCTAGATCGTTACTAATATCGATCATGTACAGGGTAAAACCGCCACGGAATTGTTCGGCCGTTATACCGTGTAATCCATTTCGCCACAGTCCACCGCAATTACGAAACAGGTCTAAGTAAGTTTCGTACAATCTGGACGAGTCGTCGTCGTAATCTACGTGGATAGATTTACCGTGTACCTCTTGACCATTCAATTTTACGTTTAGATTTGTCAAGCTTTGATGACCAAATTTGAAAGGGTTCAAATGACATGTACCGGCATACGCATTATTTTCCACCAAACCAACGACCATACGTTTCGGGAGATCTCCGTTGACAATAGTTTGATTATGATAATCTCTTACACCCGTTGGTATATCGTGAGCAGTTGTCTTGACTCGCGTAATAGGATATTTTTGCAGTTATCCCTTTCTGTAAAGCTTTAATGTGTAGTTCTCTTATTCGTGGCGAAACGTCCACTTGTCTGACGTAAAATTCCGCTCTGACGATCTCACTTTTATAAGTAGTCCCACCACCGGCGTACATCAACCAAAACTGATCCGATGAACGAAATGAGTTCTAGTTTTATATTAACACCGTCCATGAGATAACGGGGTTGTAAAAATATATCGCAATTACGTCTTGACACGTATTCTACTTCACGCGTGGGAACTATTGATTTCCACCGTTTTTTCGTCCCCGAGTTGCAGCCAGCATTGTCCATATTGAGATCGTCAAATTTGTTGGCTTCGTCCATATGCCATCCTTGACACGTCATAAAACTCTGTTTAGATTCTTCGTCGAAGGACAGTAGCGATTCGACATAACTGCGGTAGGGGTACGTACCGAGACTGGGCGTGACTTCCTGCTAATTTTGACCGAGTTGTATCCTTACATCGCGGAAAAGACTGTGAAAGGAATTATTTATAGGCGCGACGTGGTCCGGAGGTATATTATCAGCACAATTGAGTATTTATACCCTTGATCATAAAGTTAGTCACTACTTTCACATTTTGATTTGTATGATTTGTGTTATGATTAAATTGACAAAATAAGAAATCATTCCGTGTATATGTGTATTATATATTGTACCCCAATACGTAATTAAATTGTGTATAAATAAGGACACTAGGTTAATTACTGTAATTGATTATTTTATAAACATATTCACATTTAGTTGCGTGATATGTCACAGAGGTAAAGCTAATTCATAACAACTAATTGTTCCATTTATTTGGCTTCTATCGTTTAGATGAAACAAATGCTATAACATGGGGTGATAAACTTCATTGGCAATAGACGTAGCATATAATTGTTCGCATGAACAGTCTACTCTGTTCCAGATATGTTTATTCATTTTGTCAGCATTTAAATCGTTGCATTCCTGACTCAATGATTCATTTGACGAAATATAATTCCCTGTTTTGAATTACCGTCAGATAGTTCCAGACCAATTATAAAATTTCCAGCCCTATGTGTTGCGCATAATTCCGAGATAATTCGAAGTTCATATTCTTGTACGAACACTTATCGAAATTCATTTATACGTAGTACTATTATGTACATATGTATATTAGTTCAAATTATAATAATGAGGCCCTCTATATTCTCGAAACGGTCTTTGTTCTACGACAACCGTAAGTCGGTATGGGAAAACAAAATATTTGTTTAATTGTTCAAAGTTCATAGTCAATGTCATATGATTATAGACAAGGAAGATAAGAAATTAAATATAAAGAGTAGCCACTTTAAATGACAGAAATTCTTTTAGTTAAATTTGCTCATGATTTGGTCTTTTCGTGGTACATAGTGCCAAAATACTCTTAATTATTTACTTTCATGTCATTACTAATCTCACATAAGGTCAAAAGTTGTAAAACGTTTAACATATATGATTATGACATGTTGTATCCAAATATTTCCAAATTTTTCCAAACATTTCCAAACAAATCCAAACAAATCCAAGCTTGGAAATATGACCTTGCCAAATATTGGAATGGTCATATTTCCAATTGGAATGGTGGTATTTCCAAGTTTGGGATTTTTTGGAATGGATGATATTTTGTCCAGTGATACGTCTGGCTTTGTCCGAAGACATTACGATACGATACCCGACAACACCTTAATAGCCAGAGGCGCTAAAACTGCCGCTAATGTCCCGATAAATCCTCCTTGTTGCTGTAGTATTCGTTTCTTCTGTTTTAAAGACCCCCGTTTTTTTCTGAGCTCGTGTAGTTTTATTCTGTGTTTGAGTAAGGATTTTCTCTGACTGACACTCATCGGTACGTGTCCGAGAAATATATTCGACGCTACCTCGGATATCGCGTCTACGACTTCTTTAGGTAAATGACGTTAAAGCTTGTTTCTAACGCGAGGGGTCACTCTACACATACAGTGTAATATATCGGCATTTTTCTTCACTATACTCTTATTCATGACTCTTCCCAAGATGTAGCCGGAGGAATGTCTAGCTTCAATTTGAGACGGTTAACGTTAGATTTATTCTATTGTACCCCGGACGTCTTCGGTTTAGTCACGTGACTATCGATCGTTTTCGCCGGATTTACGTTAACATTTTCATCGTCGGTGTCGGTACTACTGTCCCGGGAATCGCTACTATAGGCTCCATCCTTATCAACACTATGCATGCGGTCCCACGATTTACAACCTTGTTGACACCACGCCATGACGATATCGAATGATGAGGGCGAGGTAATTTCGCGTATTAATACCTCTTAAGGTCGACAGCGTCACCCTTTATACCCGTACGGTTGGACTACGAGTTCTGATTTTATACGTAGAGCTGCCCTTTAAGGCGTAACAGCGGTACCACGAGACAATGCGCGTAGACCTCTAGGGTTAACCTCTTATAGTACTAGCATCGTTATACCGTCCCCTTTAAGACAACGGATGTAACGTTATGGACAAACACTCGCGCATTATTTTGACAGTTATATACCGTAACGTAGTGCTTTAAGGTAACGCGTGTTTGCGTTACGACCAAGGTATGTATACATCTATTGCCCCGTCAAATATATTCCCTCTAAATCTATATGTTTCGGGTGTCGCGGGAGTCAGATCTAACATCAAATAAGTATGAGGCAATTTCCGCGCCTTATAGTACGCCTCTCGTAT